ATTATGCATACATTCATACATATATTTATTTTACTGCTCAACTCTATATACATTGGATTGATTTTTATAACTTTAATGTACTTGAACTGTGCACCAAACACTATGAATGTACAAGTATCGGATCGGTACTCGGTATTGGCAGATACTAAACTGGCAAACGTCGGTCCTGGAGAGCCGCAGCCCTGCAGAGTTTTGCTTCAACCCTAATCAAACACACCTGAATAAGCTAATCAAGGTCTGAAGGGTTACTAGAAAGCTACAGGCAGGTGAGTTTTAATTAGGGTTGGAGCTGTACTCTGCAGGGCTGCGGCTCTCCAGGACCATTTTAAATCTGATAAATGCAGTTGATGAACATGAACAAAGAACCTTACTAATGCAAAACCTTAAAACAGTATTGAATATATCATAATATCAAAACAAGCACACTTATGAACATTTGTTAATAAAATGATTGTGTTAACATCAAATTGGTGGCTTGTTCTATTCCATAAAATGCTGTGAATTATTTGTTTTCTCATTTTATTAAAGGAACACTTTCATGCCTGTGTGTGGTCTTAGATTTTATTCATTTCTATTCATTTTGTAAATATAAGCCAAACAGTTTAAGAACAATCACACCGGGATAGATGAAAAACGATTAGTTCACAAATACAAGTTCATTTCAGCTGTTGCACTCAAATGATAACAACTAATAACAGACACAGTTTTAAAGCATTGCAAGCTACAGCACAACAAACTGAAATCAAAGTAAGCAACTAGCTAAAGTTTGCTGCAGGCCTACTTTATCCCAACATTACACAAAGAATGTCTGCAATCATTCAGTCAGGGATGACTGCACAAAACATGCAAACTAGGGATGTCCCGAGCCGATCTCAATGATCGTGATTGGGGCCGATCAAGCGTTTTTTTAACTGATCAGTATCGGCTCTCCTAAAGTCAGTTGTGCTCAGCTGCCTTTAAAACCAAAAGAAGAAGAAATGTGTCTGCGTGATGCACGAGAACCAGTAAGGGTCTGTTCTAGCATGTCACACACATTTGAGCTTCCGCGTTCTGTGTATTTGATGCGCACTTTTGTAACGATCACTCATTCATTTATCGTTTACTTTTATCTGCCGTCAGACTATCTGAGACGTCGTTGTTATAATGCGTTGTTATGGGTTGCGTCTTGCTTCGGACTTGACTGATAAACTGGCATTCTGACATTGCAAGCTTCATGCTTTCTAACCATAAGTTGCAATTAACCTGCTTATTGTACATGTTTACATCTATGTCTTTATACATTGTGTGCATAGAGAGAGAGCGAGAGTATCTTATAATTATATATTACATTATATTATATTATGCATACATTCATACATATATTTATTTTACTGCTCAACTCTATATACATTGGATTGATTTTTATAACTTTAATGTACTTGAACTGTGCACCAAACACTATGAATGTACAAGTATCGGATCGGTACTCGGTATTGGCAGATACTAAATATTTAATGACTCGGGTCAGATCGGGGGCACAAAAAACCTGATTGGAACATCCCTAGTGCAAACTAATGAAAAACATTATAAACTGTTACAAAATGATGAACAAATGAAGTTTAGCCATAAGTTTGCACAACGCTGAAAATATAATGATCTTTTTTTAAAAATTCCCAGTACCACTTGGTTCCATGCACATTTCCGGGAAACTCATGAATATTCATGTCTGCCCCGCCCACTGAAACCAAAAAATCTCAGAAACCGAAAATCTTGTAACACCGGCAGTGTCCGTCAACAGTCATGGATGGGGCCTGTAAAATGCAACGTCACTTCTGTTAACTTCTGATTCTGTGAATGACTTGTACTGAGTAGGGTTGGGTATCGTTTGAATTTTATCGATTCCGATTCCGATTCTGCTTATCGATTTCGATTCTTATCGATTCCTATTTTCGATTCCAATAAGATAAAAAATCCAATATGTCAAAAATTTATTTTTACAAAGCATTCTGTTGCAGCTGAATAACATGAGCAAAAATCAGCAGCCTACAGAACACTGCAAGAGGAATTTTGCCTATGCTTTAAAAAAAAAATACCACAGCAAAAACAACTAGATCAGGGGTGGCGAACGTCGGTCCTGGAGAGCCGCAGCCCTGCAGAGTTTTGCTTCAACCCTAATCAAACACACCTGAATAAGCTAATCAAGGTCTGAAGGGTTACTAGAAAGCTACAGGCAGGTGAGTTTTAATTAGGGTTGGAGCTGTACTCTGCAGGGCTGCGGCTCTCCAGGACCGGAGTTTGCCACCGCTGAACTAGATTATTAATATACATTTCAAATATTAAAGTGTTAAAGACAAGTAAACAGTCAGTAATAAGATAGGAACAAACAAATCAATTAGCAATATCATAAATAAATACAACTGAACAACATTTCAGGTACAGAAACTGTAATTAAAAGTTTAAAAACACTGCATAGTTTTCTTTTCATAAATAAAATATAGATTAATCAATTAAAGTTATTAAAATGCAGTTGATGAACATGAACAAAGAACCTTACTAATGCAAAACCTTAAAACAGTATTGAATATATCATAATATCAAAACAAGCACACTTATGAACATTTGTTAATAAAATGATTGTGTTAACATCAAATTGGTGGCTTGTTCTATTCCATAAAATGCTGTGAATTATTTGTTTTCTCATTTTATTAAAGGAACACTTTCATGCCTGTGTGTGGTCTTAGATTTTATTCATTTCTATTCATTTTGTAAATATAAGCCAAACAGTTTAAGAACAATCACACCGGGATAGATGAAAAACGATTAGTTCACAAATACAAGTTCATTTCAGCTGTTGCACTCAAATGATAACAACTAATAACAGACACAGTTTTAAAGCATTGCAAGCTACAGCACAACAAACTGAAATCAAAGTAAGCAACTAGCTAAAGTTTGCTGCAGGCCTACTTTATCCCAACATTACACAAAGAATGTCTGCAATCATTCAGTCAGGGATGACTGCACAAAACATGCAAACTAGGGATGTCCCGAGCCGATCTCAATGATCGTGATTGGGGCCGATCAAGCGTTTTTTTAACTGATCAGTATCGGCTCTCCTAAAGTCAGTTGTGCTCAGCTGCCTTTAAAACCAAAAGAAGAAGAAATGTGTCTGCGTGATGCACGAGAACCAGTAAGGGTCTGTTCTAGCATGTCACACACATTTGAGCTTCCGCGTTCGGTGTATTTGATGCGCACTTTTGTAACGATCACTCATTCATTTATCGTTTACTTTTATCTGCCGTCAGACTATCTGCGACGTCGTTGTTATAATGCGTTGTTATGGGTTGCGTCTTGCTTCGGACTTGACTGATAAACTGGCATTCTGACATTGCAAGCTTCATGCTTTCTAACCATAAGTTGCAATTAACCTGCTTATTGTACATGTTTACATCTATGTCTTTATACAGTGTGTGCATAGAGAGAGAGCGAGAGTATCTTATAATTATATATTACATTATATTATATTATGCATACATTCATACATATATTTATTTTACTGCTCAACTCTATATACATTGGATTGATTTTTATAACTTTAATGTACTTGAATTGTGCACCAAACACTATGAATGTACAAGTATCGGATCGGTACTCGGTATTGGCAGATACTAAACTGGCAAACGTCGGTCCTGGAGAGCCGCAGCCCTGCAGAGTTTTGCTTCAACCCTAATCAAACACACCTGAATCAGCTAATCAAGG